GTCATAAGTACCAACCCCCTGAAGCACTTCGAGCCTCAAAGAAAAGCACAAGGTGTAAAACACGTGTCCCTGCTCCACATAAAAACTGTGGAAAGAAATGAGCAGCACTCAGGGCCCGGCTCATACTGTCTCCAGCTCATGGAAAAAGAGCATGGAAAGCTGATCGAAAACGTCTCACGAACGACTCCAGCCAAGATAAGCGTGCATCACTTTGTTGAACACGTGCTTCTAACACACGCAAGCGACTGAATATGTCTTCAAGGGCTCGACTGAGTTCGCCAAGTTCATCTTGATGCCTTTCACACATAGCATGCACATCAACCACATGCCGATGCACCAAACTGACTGTGCCAGTCCCACTAGAGGACGGTGTCTGGGGCTCCGAAGCTGTACCATCTGCCATGGCTCAAGCTAACCCCCTTTTTCGAAAACAATCTATCAGCTTCTAAGAGCACTTTCCGGGCATCCTGCCCTTTGAGAGGTCCCGCTGCGACGGGTGTATAAGTAAATACAAATCCTGCATGAACAAGCATAAAACTGATCAAGCATTAGAAATAAGTTGTGCAAAAAGGCAAGCACTGAAACAACAATCAAATGTTTTGTTCACCACAACATTTTGATGTTGTTTCCTTTGAACAATAAAGCTCTATCTTCTCCAGGCATTCGAAGAACGATACGAGACATATGTGCCGAACCCGTGTGCCGGACGTCTGTCCTCGTGACAGCTGTCGGATCGGTGTTGACTGTTGAAGCTGTTTATATTTTTTTAGTTTTTGGTCGAAGTGCTTGAAGTTTTTGGCTTATGCATTCCGGACAGGTGTGAGACCTATGTTTGGACAGGCGTGTCTCGGTCGATTCCATTTTGAAAGCAACTTGCTTGATTATCGCATTTCTTCAATTGGTAATCGAATTAGTGGACACCAGTGAGACATATGTGCCGAACCTGTCATGGACTTCTTTGCGAACACGTGGGAAACTTGTGTGCGGACATTTTTTCCTTTCTTGAAAGCAACTTGCTTGATGATTGCATTTCTTCAATTGCAAATTGAGTTAGTGGACACCAGTGAGACATATGTGCCAAACCTGTGTCCTGGACTTCTCTCCGGACACGTGTGAGACCTATGTGCGGACAGGTGCGTCTTGGTTGATTCCATTCTCGAAAGCAACTTGCTTGATGATTGCATTTCTTCAATTGGAAAATGAGTGGACACCAGTGAGACATATGTCTCGAACCCGTGTCCCGGACTTCTGTCACCGTGACACCTGTCGGGTCGGTGTTGTCCGTTGAAGTTGTTCAACTTTTGAGGTAAAATTCCTACCATAACGAATTTTGACACCTGTCGGATCGGGGTGCACCGTTAAAGTTGTTGAGTTTTTGAGTTTGTGGTTCAAGTGTTTCCAGTTTTTTTAGTTTATGCACCCCGGACACGTGTGAGACCTATGTGCAGACAGCTGCGTCTCGGTTGACTTCAGTGTTCAAAGCAACTTGCTTGATCATTGCGTTTCTTTCAATTGCTAATTGAATTAGTGCACACCAGTGAGACATATGTGCGGTACCCGTGTCCCGGACCTCCGTCCCTGTGACACCTGTCGGATCGGTGTTGCTGCCCGTTGAAGTTGTTCAAGCTTTTGAGCTAATGGTTCGAGTGTTTTTGGAGTTATTGAGTTTATGCACTCCGGACACGTGTGAGACCTATGTGCGGACAGGTGCGTTTCTATAGAGGACACCTGTGAGACATATGTGCCGAACCCGTGTGCCGGACGTCTGTCCTCGTGACAGCTGTCGGATCGGTGTCGACTGTTGAAGCTGTTTATGTTTTTTGAGTTTTTGGTCGAAGTGCTTGAAGTTTTTGGCTTATGCATTCCGGACAGGTGTGAGACCTATGTTTGGACGGGCGTGTCTCGGTCGATTCCATTTTGAAAGCAACTTGCTTGATTATCGCATTTCTTCAAGTGGTAATCGAATTAGTGGACACCAGTGAGACATATGTGCCGAACCTGTGTCATGGACTTCTTTGCGAACACGTGCGAAACTTGTGTGCGGGCATTTTTTCCTTTCTTGAAAGCAACTTGCTTGATGATTGCATTTCTTCAGTTGCAAATTGAATTAGTGGACACCAGTGAGACATATGTGCGGGACCTGTGTCCTGGACTTCTCTTCGGACACGTGTGAGACCTATGTGCGGACAGGTGCGTCTTGGTTGATTCCATTCTCGAAAGCAACTTGCTTGATGATTGCATTTCTTCAATTGGAAAATGAGTGGACACCAGTGAGACATATGTCTCGAACCCGTGTCCCGGACCTCGGTCCCTGTGACACCAGAGGTCGACAGCTGTGAGACATATGTGCCGAACCCGTGTTCCGGACCCTTTCGTGTGTGACACCTGTCGGATCGGTGTTGACTGTTGAAGGTGTTGGAGTTCATGCATTAAGTGTTTCAAGTTTTTGAGTTTATGACATCCGGACAGGTGTGAGACCTATGTGCGGGCAAAAGGCAAGAGAAAGTAAAGAGAAAGGAAAGAGACGGTTGAGAGAAAGGAAAGAGAAAGGACAGAGAAAGGAAAGAGGCAGAAAAGAGACAGGAAAGCGAGAGGAAAGAGAAAGGAAAGAGAAAGGAAGGAGAAAGGAAAGAGAAAGGAAAGAGAAAGGAAAGAGAAAGGAAAGAGAAAAGAATGATAAAGGAAATAGAAAGGAAAGAGAACGGAAGGAAAGAGGAAAGAGAAAAGAAAGAGAAAAGACAGTGAAAGGAAAGAGAAAGGAAAGAGAAAGTAAAGAGAAAGGAAAGATAAAGGAAAGAGAAAAAACAGAGAAAGGAAAGACAAAGGAAAGAGAAAGGAAACAGAAAGGATAGAGAACGGAAAGAGATAGGAAAGAGAAAGGAAAGAGCAAGGAAAGAGAAAGGAAAGAGATAGGAATGAGAAAGGAAGGAAGTTTTTGAGTTTATGACATCCGGACATGAGACCTATGTGCGGGCAACAGGCAAGAGAAAGGAAAGAGAAAGGAAAAAGACGGTAGAGAGAAAGGAAAGAGAAAAGACATAGAAAGGAAAGAGAAAGGAAAGAGAAAGGAAAGAGAAAGGAAAGCGAGAAGAAAGAGAAAGGAAAGAGAGAGGAAGGAGAAAGGAAAGAGAGAGGAAAGAGAAAGGAAAGAGAAAGGACAGAGACAAGAAATATAAAGGAAAGAGAAAGGAAAGAGAAAGGAAAGAAAAAGGAAAGAGAAAGGCAAGAGAAGAGAAAGTGAAAGGAAAGAGAAAATAAAGAGAAAGGAAAGAGAAAGGAAAGATACAGGAAAGAGAAAGCAAGGAGACAGGAAAGAGAAAGGAAAGCGAAAGGAAAGAGAAAGGAAAGAGAAAGGAAAGAGAAAGGAAAGAGAAAGGAAAGAGAAAGGAATCCAAAGCGTCAGTGGCCAGTAGAGAGGCTTAACACAGTAAACAATTGTTTAGCGCGGTCGATACACTTGAAACCTCCCCCCCTCCGTGACAAACCGCAACGATCCAGGAAACAGCTAATCGCACAACTCAAGATTGCATGTAGACTTGCATTCACAAGGATGCATTTTCGGACATTTTGCAAGCGAGATCGTTCCTCTCAGTCGTCCTCCGGCGGGTCGTACATACCAGAAGACCTCGGAATTTGATTTCTCAGATATGTTCATGTGGGTATTTACGAGTTTGAGGTGCTGACACTTCATCGTCGGAGGAGTCGTTGTTGGACGCAGTGGACCTGGAACGTGTAGTCAAGCACACAAAAACAAATAGTGCCTGACACATCCATCCTTTGAGTTCCTGACTCTGCGAGACGCACGAGGTTCACCTCCTCGTTGGCGTAAGCAGCCACAGTCTCCTTCCAGGAGACTTCCCGCTCCTTGAAGAGCAGCTTCCAGCGTCCACCTTGGAAGGCAGGCGAAAGTGAGCAAGGAGCAATTCAGAACTCATCGAGTACGAAGCTCCGTGCCTTTTCCCCACAACTCTTCGACGACCTTCTTCGCAACGTTGTACATGCGTGAGTTGTAGTGCGCCTTATTAAAGGTTCAGTTGGACATGATTTATCGCTTGTGCCAAATTCGGTTTGAACCCAAAAGCCAAGATCCCACAGGAGAGGCAAAACTCAGAACGAGCACTGCATGTCCCTCTTCTTCTTTTCATCAGTGGGCGAATCAAAGATCGCATTCAATCATGTGCCGGTGCACACAGCGCGGTGCACATACATTGCACATGCGTCTCACCATACACAAACGAACCTCAAGCCCCCTTTAAGGGCGAGGCACCTATACACACAATTCTAATGGGAGTGCCGATGGCACGCAGGGAGTTGCAGCCGCCGCGGCGGGCCCTGCTACTGCGATGCCCTGGGTGGGCTGGGCGGGTCAAAATTTTTGGCACTGAGCTGAAGAGCCAGTGCTGCACACACATCTTCCTGCACACGCAATTGCAAATCGTCGTTGGCATACCAAGCAAGACAAGCATCAGAAACTTTTGGGCTTCAAACCAAGACCAAACGGCACCCCGTTTTTCTTAGAGACAATTTGGCAGCAATCGATAAAACACCATTCGCTCGCGAACAGTAAGCTTATCGCTTGTGCCAAATTCGGTTTGAACCCAAAAGCCAAGATCCCACAGGAGAGGCAAAACTCAGAACGAGCACTGCATGTCCCTCTTCTTCTTTTCATCAGTGGGCGAATCAAAGATCGCATTCAATCATGTGCCGGTGCACACAGCGCGGTGCACATACATTGCACATGCGTCTCACCATACACAAACGAACCTCAAGCCCCCTTATTAGCCGACATCCCCAAGCATATGGCATCCAGGTGCTCCGACACATCGGAACACGGGACACTGATGCCACCCCACAACAAGTGCTTGGACACCAGCCTCGACGGGAGATCCATTTTCATTCTAACGCGTTCACTGAGTCAGTGATTCGGCGGGCGCAACACACACAGTTGGTGTGGCCATTATGGCGCGCCGGACACCTACCGCCGTCCATGGCGGCGCGGACTATTGCCGCGAAAAGAAAAGTATGTACCAGTTGCGATTTATATGCTGTACATCCCTAGCCGTGGCGTTGAATGGCGTCCTACCATCATCTACCATCTGTAGGGCCGAAGTTGCGGCTCCTTTGTCAAAGGCCTCAGCGATCGTCTCCACCTCAGAAGAAGAACTGCTCTGTGGTTTGAGACAGAAGCATCTATAGTGCCCAGTGTGTGGGGTGTCCCCTGTGTGTACAACACCAGAGATGAGCCGGTATTCGCTCGTGCTGAGTTGTTGGGTATTTCCGTCTTTGAAAAAGGGAACTCTGATGACTGGATTGACGGTGACCGGGCTGCGGACCTTCTTAATACGACCACCCTTTTCCTGAAAACGTAGAAGCTGTATACTGAGTATCACGGGAACGTCAGCCAGTGCGGTCACATATTCCTCGTTGCGAGGTCCCGGCTGTACGCTCCAGGAGTTCAGCGCCAGCTGTGTCGTGGTCTGACCTGTGCATGGCAGAGGGATCAGAGGCACCGCCGTGTTCCAAGCCCGGACTGTGGCCGGCTCCCGTTCACTAACTCCGGAAACCCTGGACTCCCAGCTGCCCAGCAAGATCCTAGGGACCCCGTCCTTTGTTAGATGTTGCAGAAGTTCTGCAGCATCATGCTGCTGGTGGAGGTCACGCCAGCCTTGCAGAAGCTGCATGCAGTCCTTTCTCCTGCTTAGTTGCTGGGGCTTGACACATTTGGTCAGCGCATTAAGCATGGGGCGTAGACATCCAAAGCCCGCTTTGTCCGGCGGCCTGACTTGACCAAACAGGTGCAGCAGTGCTTGGATCATGGAGTTGAGGTAGCAAAGGTTGGATGGGTTTTCAAGCACACAATGCTGATGTTGCATAGGGCATGGTGCATCAGTGACTTTTTCCCCCTGGCCCTCTGCCTTCTCCTGGCTATGGGATTTAGCGTCCGCCCCCTGTGCTGGCTGACCTGTCCCCTTCAGCCATTCCCCTATGCTCCGTGATCTCCTTGAACCAGGACCACTGTCGCTAGGCTTGGTGGGGATGTTGGGGCCGTGAGGCGGCTTCCCGGGGTAAATATTCTTTGCAAGATCACGGTGCAACACACCCTCAGGCAGACACTCCAAACCCAACTTGCCCTTACTAGTAAAAATACTTTGGCGAGAAGGCTTCATTGCCTTCTCGTCGCGTCGATGGCCCGCTGTAGGTCCTCTGGAAGTGGCTTGTGGCTTCTTTCCGGGCGGATCCTGGCTCCTATGAGCGCGGTGGCCGCTGTCTCCGTGAGAGCATGGAGTGCCTTGTTGATGTTGGGCCGTGCATCGGCGTCCAGGGAGACTGTCAGCACGAACGTCGTGGCTCCTGGCCTGTCCTCCTTGACTCCGCCTAGAGCATGGAAGCGCTGGATGACGTTGGGCTTGACGGCCTCTCGCATCAGCAGTTGAACTGCCTCCTTTGCATCCTGATGAGAGAGCAGGTTGCCCTCTCTGGGCTCCTGGAGTTTCTTGTCCGGATTCCATCTCGTGTACGACCACGCCATTGGTTCTGCTACGAGCATCTTCCTCTGAATGAGTGGCGCCTGTGCCGCCTTGTCTCCCTCCATCTTCGCAAGCCGAGCTTGCAGCTCCAGCAGGAGCGATCCCAGGAGAGCCTGGCGAAGGCTGCAGGTGCACTTGTTCTGCTCTCGGCTCTCCTTCCAGGTGGCCGTGGTCTTGACCAGCTGAGGTATGATGCCCATCGCTCCAGAGTCCATCCAGAGAACCCAACTTCTGTCGGCCTCCAGCAGTTGCAGCGCCATGGCGTGCTGGCTGACATACTTGGTTAGAACTTGCACTTGCTTTGCCAGCTGCTGGTTTGGGGCCGGGATCGGCTCCCTTTTTGCTTTGCCTGGGCCTTTGCCCTCCCTGCGACGGAATTTCCGCCCCTCGCCGTTCTCCTCCTCGGTCGGCCTGTCCCTCATTATGAGTTCCATCGGGCTGTGCTGCCCCCACATGTTCGCCACTTCCTGCAGTGCTTGGTCGTCCATGGCGCGACAGAAATGCGATTTGCAAGAGTGGCAGGCACTTTTGAGCGTGAACCCTCGGGGTTTTGTGGTAGGTCACTCCACAATGCCGGCATGGTCTAGCTAGCGGTAAACCGTGTACCAACTCTGCAAATCCCTCAGCTCGCTTCCAGGCCTCCTTGTGCTGGTTGGCACAGTGTCGCCTCCAGTCCTGTTGATTCGTCAATCGCTGAAGGCAAAGTCCACAGTGCCGTGTCAGCATGTCAATGACCTCGCTGTCTCCTGCCTCCATTTTGACCTGCCTGTGCACGTCGGGGTTGAGTTGCCTGGCAAGGAACTCATCAGTGATGCAAGTTCTCACATCCCTGGCGACGGGGGCCGTGTCCGGCGCCCCAACCTTGTGCCATGCTGTGGCTAAGGCTGTTTGGAAAATAACCGTGCAGCTCCGAGTGTGCCTGTCGGGTTGGTACACCATGACCTCACAAAGGTCGCAGACACTGTCACGGGTGAGGTGAGATTTATACATCGCACACTCAGTGTCCAGGTTGCCAATACTTGCATGCCATATGTGTGAGTGCATTCTCTTGATGTGCTCCTTAACCGAGCCTCCCTTAGCAATCCACTGTCCACAGAAGCCACAGTGCTGAATGAGACTCCTAGCGTGATCACTGACGATCTGCAGCTTAGAGTCCGACTGCAGTAGTTGCTTCGCCACTTCAGGTCTACGCAGCAACGGGATCGTCGGCTCCTTCTGGGCAGGCTGTACCGGTTGTTGCCGAGCGATGGTGCTCGAGGGATGGGTGTCTTCAAGTATGCGTGGCTCCCTGTCTGATTGACCCCTAGGGGGGGGTAGCGATGTCCTGCTGTTCGGCCTCCCGAGTGGGGCCGGGTGGCATCTGCCAGCCACAAACGTTGTTGAGGATGTGATTCCTCAGCGCGTCCCATGAACCCGTCTTAAGACCACAATGAATGCACTGTGGCATGCCACCAGCAGAGTGATCCTGTTGTTGATACATGTCATCATCATGCCGGTGCGAGCTCACATACACCTTGTGGACCCTTCCCCTGTGCTGTCTCATTGTTTTGTTTGATGGGAAGTACACTCCGCAGACTGGGCAGGCCACCGGCTGCGATTGTTGCGCGGGCACCGGGATCAGCCTGGAGTCGGGCTCCGCATCGATGTTATCTGTGTGGAAGATGAGGTATTGCTGTAGCATACTTTCCCAATACTGGAGAGTTTGTGGCTGGTTGATGATGCTCGCTTCTGCAACCCGAAGCTTATCAAGTTTATGCCGAATCCGTTGCACAGTGGCATCTATAGGATCCTGAACCCCTAATCTTTGCCGAAGTTGCTTGTTAGTCTCATGCGAGATGTGGGCAGGTGAGTCCGCAACGGCTCTTAGTTGACGATAGAACCAACCCCTGAGGAGTGCCACCGCCTTGGCAGAGGGCGCGAAAGCAATGAGGCCAAATGTAGCACTCGATGCAGCACAGGCCTGCCAGATGCGTACTCTATGCGCTAAGCCGAAGACTTTCCTGGACCTGGTCGCCTTTTTGATTTTGCCAGTTCTCTTGTTAGCTTCAGCAATACGGTAGCCTACCACTTTGTGCGCTTCCGTTTGGAGGGAAAGGTGCGTCCCTAGGTATGTAGTGTAGCAGGCAATGGGGATTAGCGCCTCGCTCCCATCAGGGTGTCGCGCCCGCCACCATTTTTTCCCGTCCTTATACACTACATAGTCCTTGAGCGCGCGTCTGGCCCCAGGTCCGCAAACTTTCAGGAGCAGGACTGTTTTGGTAAGGTTAACTAAAAGCCCCATGTCCTGCATGACCCCCAGAAGTTTGTTGATGAAACTGCTAAGTTGGGCAATGTCCGTGGAGTTTTCAATGAGCCATTGCACTAAGGTATCGTCGGCAAAAGTGGTTGCTTGTCTGTGGGGGCCTGAGAGGGCATCCCCCAGCCGCTCCAGCAAAAGGGTCGATATTGCCACCCAAAGCATGGGGGCGATCTTACATCCTTGGCGGATGCCTCGCGTTGTACCCACTGTGCTTTGTTCCTGATCACTGATAATGTGATACCGGGATGTGTCTAGGAGGGAGATAATCTCGGCCGTCATGCTTTCTCCCGCACCAAGGTCTTTTAGCGACTGGGCTAGTGCTTGACGGTTTACTCTGTCAAAGGCCTGTTTGAGGTCAAGGCTGAGGATGGCTCCCCCGACGCAGAGTTTTGTGTTGTCCGGATTTTCCTCCCTGTCCCTTTGGGCGAATTTGCTGCTGTTTCCTCGTCCGTAACACCTTTTGAAGTTGTCAATCCACACCTGCACTCTAGCCAAGGCATCGTACAAATCCCTCCCCGGCTGATAGGCAAACTGCGGCACCCTGCGCAGCTGGGGCCGAATCAGCTCATAGAGTCTGATTTTGAGAAGCCCTGCAAGGGCTTTGGCATCAGGAGACATGAGGCCTATTGGCCTGAGCGATGAGGGCTCGCATGGGTCTTTGCCCGGCTTTGGGAGCCAGACTATCCACGCGTCGGTCCACTGAAGAGGGAGTGTGATCCCTGGTTGGTGAGAATGCTGGTCAAATGCCATCTTCAGCAGCCTCGCAACCTGTGGGGCCGCTAATCGCCATGCAGAAGCAGGAGCTACTCCTGGAGGGACGGCTTTCCCAATCTTGATGGACTTCAGCTGCGATTCAATTTCCTCAACCGTGAAAACTAAGTTAAGACCTTGCTCCTCCCTAGCCGGCTGCTCTGTGTCCGGAGCGAAAAGATCTTCGCTATAGCTCACCAGGGCTTCGTGCTCCTGTTGGAGAGTGAGGAGTCGGCCGCTTGGGTCCTTAATCATGACCCGTTGTCTAGGTTGCCAGGGTGCTAATCTCCGAACAACTTGATACACGGTTCGTTGGTCCCCGTTATCAGCTGCCTGCTCAGCCTTTTGGAGTAGTTGGAGGATGTCTTCGCGCTTCTTTTCCTTGCATTGTTTCTCAGCAATTTTGACTTGCTTCCGCAGGGCAACCGTAGCTTTCCATCCCCGAAAGAGTCTGGATAGGAAGTACCACCAGGGGTTGTTTTCCAGGTTTTCCCTTTCCGGCTCCCTTGGGGGCCGTACGGTGACGTACTCGGCCTCCCTTCGCTTCTGCCATAAGTGCTGCACAATGGGGCTGGGTGGAGGGTTGGGTTTCCTCTCCAATGGGTAGTGGTTCTGGCAAGTGTCAAGAAGGGTGGAGTTGATGTTGGCAGGGGTGGGGTCCGTGAGGGCGTTGAGGGCTGTCGTAAGGGCAAGCTGCAGGGTATGTGCCCCCTCCTCCCGATTACGTATCTCGTGATCCAGTTTGTGCCTGTCCAGCTGGGGGTTCGTGGATCTTTTGGGGAGCATGTGATGGTTCATGAGACGGATGGTTGTGTGAAGCGCCATGTGACCGACGTGCCCTCCAGTTGCCAATTGGTGGGGCTGTCACTTTGACGTTCTTGGCTTCCCAATCAGCAGATATGGCTCTGGTCAGGATGAAGTCGATTTGGCTCTTTCCCGCCCCCCGCCCCCCCGTTAAATTGTACTGGGTAGGCGTGGCTGGACCGCGCCATGTGTTAAGGGCAACCAGACCGAGATTATCCAGGAACGTGTTGAGGTCCCCGGGGTCCAGTGCGTCTGCCCCGACATGGAATGGGGTCTGGCAGGTTGAACGACCGACTAATGGAGCATGTGGAGTGACTTCAGCCTGGAAATCCCCCACCACAACCACCGTGTTGCGCATGGAGAGGCCCCTAACACAACCACTCAGTTTTTCAAGGAGTTTAGCCCGCTTTTCCCGCAGGACTTCGGGGCGTTGTGCAAAATTATGTGGGTGCTGATAGCAATTAACCAATTCGACCCTCCCTTGTGCAGTCGAGATCTGTGTGCGCAGGACTCTACCTGGAATCACCTCCTCATGCCGGATGTGTGTTGCTTGGTGTCTCGGATGCACCAAGGTGAGAACACCATCAGCTCTGGCAGCTGTTCCTGAGTGTACCGCAAACCATCCTTCCAGTTTGTATGTGGAGCTTGTGCTAAGGTGCGTCTCCTGCAGGCATATGAAGTCGTATTTGGTACTTTGCTGTTTGAGCAGCTCTCGGAGTTCTTGCCACATGAGGACCGATAGAGCTCCGACGTTCAAGGACAGGACATGAATCCTTGCGATCCCGTGTCTACCTCCCCGCGCGCCTCTTCTCTTATACTGATCCAGCGGCACTCTCTGCGCTGCTCGCACCTGAACATCAGGAAGTTGTGACCGCGTGCACCATTTCCCTCGGTACCAAGCCCCTCCCTGCACTCTAGCTGTGTGAACTGCTCTACGAAGCGCTCTCTTGGATCCCGGTAGGGTGTGCGCATGATCGGCAATGTGATCTGTGGCAGGTGCAGACCGAGCTCCCTGCCCAAGGCATAGGACGCACAGCAGCCTCAGCGCGCGGCTCCATATAGTACAATGTGGCGCTGTTTGTCGATTATGTCGTGAGTGTCGCGTAGGAGGTGTCTCTTTGGCTCGATGCATGAAGCTGTGTCTCGCCACGCCTAGGAGACATGTGCTAAGCAGGAATGCAAATGCACTGTGGAAAAACGGCGTCCTGCCCGGCACATCCATTAAACAATTTTGCGGCTCCCACACGGGGCCGAGGCTCATCCCTTCTCTCAGCCTTTTAGTCATTTCCAAGTCGTTCTTCCATTGCCTCCCAGTGCTGGAGGAGCTTATGGGCTCGCCGTCTTTGGTCTGCCGGTCGTAGTGCCCTGAGGTCATGTAAGAAGGCCTTGCACATCTGAGTGGATGTGAGTGCCGGCGCTGCGGGGGACTCTGATGCCTTCTTCGGCTCCTTGTAATCGTCCAGGTCGATGGTCTGGCTGGTGTCCGCTGCACGGAGCACCCATTGCTGAGGTGTCCTCGGCTCCTTCGTGGGGCCGTCAATCTGCTGCTGGCCATCACCAGAGGCCGTCTCATCTGTCCGTTGCCTCTTTGGGACCGGGGGCACCACTGTCTCATCCTCCGTCTCGCTCCATTCCAGGAGCTCGGCTGCCCCTCTGGGAAGACGATGTCGGCGGATGGGTTGTGGGACCTCAAGGGCCGCTGGCCGTGATGGCCACCATAGCATAAGCTCCTACTGACTGCTAATTGGCAGCGAAGAGCTGCACTAAAGGCCGATGGTGGTACCTTTTCAGGGCAAGGGATGGCTGCCGTCATGGCACTTAGCTCATGCACTGCAGCTTGTGTGTTCCTGCTTCCATGGAAGTCCATGCAGCAGATTACGCAACTGAGGTACAACCAGATACAAATATGCATAAGTTTTGGTGTCCGGCATAAAGGCGCGCCCCCCGCCATCTTCCCACCTGCGGAAGTGCATGCGTTGGTAGCATGTATAGGTCCTTCCCCCGTGGGGGGCCCGGGGGAAACCTTCACCTCACCCTTGCCTTGGAATGTAGTCTTCTTCTTATTGTAGTAGGAAGGGCCGGCGGACTTAGGACCGCCGCGGTGACTGAGGAATTTCTGGTAAACGTCGTGAATTCGGAGGGGTGTATGGAGGGGTCTGCGTTTGTACTTTCCTTTAGTGCGTCTATGCGTTATCCACTTATTGCCCGGCTTAGGTTCGTTCCTATATCGGATCAGTAGTGAAAACGCAGTGCACCACCCCAGCAAAATCCCTCTAGGCCAATCCTCCTTAGATCTCCTAGATTCAGTAGACCACTGATCTTCTTCCACTGAGGGGTTGGCAGATCCGGCTCCCCAGCAGGGCCGTGCATGTAGGATAACTGCCTGCGGGCGGTTGACATGCTCCGGGGGCACTGATGTGGAGATAGTTTGGGATTTGGCTAAGAGGGTGTGCATGTGGTGGCTTTCATGCATGTGAGTTGTCGGATAGTGCCTTTTCTGTGCAGCATATCTAATATGCTGATCGCTGCTATTCTGGGACCTGGTGTTATTCCTGGGCTGTCCAACTCCTAGACCTGCGCCCTGATTTTCACCAGCCACGAAGGAATCGATCACCTTTTCGGCACTCCCTGTGGGGGCCGTCGGAGAGGAGAAATGGGGTGTGCCTCCCATGTCGGTCGGCAGGTCCCGGCTCATGATTAGGCGTATGTGGGAGGAGCCCTGGATGTCGCACCATTGATAGCGCTGTCTGTCCCTGATATCAACAATCCAGCGGATGTCCCCTAAACTGATGCCATGTGCCTGCAGAAGAGGGCTGCAGGCTAGCTCGATGGCCGAGGCAAAACCGTCTTGTCTGACTTGCACCCCGTAGCGATGACCCGGTTCTCGCAAGATCTCAGTGAGGACACCGTTAATGTCATCACGTCGTGTAGGACTGTCCGGTGTTGCATCCGTCCTGGAGGTGATTGTCGGGTCTCGGGCTGATCTGCGGGCCGGGGTACGGCTCCTGTCCTGCGCGCTGCCCTTGTCGTAGTCCTGTTCATGGTCCTGAGGCTCGGTGACCGCAGTGCTGGAGGATGAGGCCGTCTGGGCACGCTGGGCCGAAGGGGTGGGAGCGCTGACGGAATTCGCATCCAGGAGTGTCCACGGCCACCCCTCTGGTGTGTCGCGTTCCCGGGTTCCCTCAGCCGGGACCCTCTGTGCTGGGGCGTCCCGCTGAGTGGTGCCGGCTGATCGGCTCCCGCGGCTGCCTGCGCCAGCCTCCCTGGTCTCTCTTTGTTCACGTTGTTCCCGACGTCTGGCTAGCTCAGTGCGTGTCCGTCTCCTCTCACCATTGGGCCGAACCCGTGCCCGAGGATGTCTGCGCGGGCTGCGCGGGCTGTTTGCCATCTTGAGCCTAATCTTTGTATTATCCCTGTTTCGGGCTGACGGGGCCGAGGGTGAAACGAATGTGCTGGTGTCGTGTCGCCTCTTCCTGTTCCCAACGGGTCTAGGGGCCTCTTTATGCAACCTTCTATGGTCAATTGATTGCCTAAGTGAGATGGGCACTGACAACGTACGGCAGGGTACACTCGGTCTTATGTGGTGCTCGTGTCCTAGAGGTCTCCACTCAAGGGTTCGCGCCTGCGAGTCCGAAGATGTCCAGGCAGTGTCTGCACAAATTGGATGTGGCTCGGAGGCAGCTTTGACCTGGGTGCAAGATCGCACTGTGGGAATGCAAGTGTCTTGCAATGGGCACTTTGGGTGGGTGATCCATGTGTCACACAGTCCATGCAGTGCAGGCACTCTCGACATGTATTGAACAGCTGGCATTGACTCCATTGCGTTGCACAATCGGCTCGCCTCTAGGGGGCCGTCAATGCAGTCAGGCCTATACAGGTATGGCATGAGCGCCTGAAAAAACTCTGGCCAATGCGTCTTCCACTGCAGCTGGAGATACAGTGCTCGGGGCAAATTTTGCAGCCCATCGTGCAAGTGGCTGGCGAGGCGGGAAACGCCGGCAAGGATGTCCAGCTCAGCCTGACCCTGTGTCGTCCATAGGGAGTGCATCCAGGATTCAACGAGATCTCCTCCTGTTTGCCAGCTCTGCACCTGTCCGAGCTTGTCATGCGTCAGCAGGGCACCAACCAGTGACCATATCCAACGACCGACGTTATCCGTGAGGAGCGGGCTGTCGATGTGCTGGCCCCGGATGTCGTAGGCTTCACCCTGCTGAGCTTTGTGGTATAGGTCGTGCCTGAACTTGTAGTGTCCCTGCATCTGGAAGGCCGTGAGGCTCGCCCCCGGGTTGCTAGGCAAGAGCTCGCCCAGAAGCTGCTTTGCTTTGCCCAGGTGTAGCCTTGCCGCAGCATTTAGTCCCTGGTGCGGCGGCACCCTCTCGGGGCCGATTGTTTGGGCCCTCCTGACCGCACCACGTGCGTCGCCTCCTCTTCGTGCACCACAGACCTCACCGCTTGTCTCCTCAATCGGATGCTCATCCGCCTTCATTGCGACGCTCTGCAGCGGCAGCCCCTGAGGTGTGTAGTTGCCAGGTGCAGCCTTTCCTGGCCTCTCGTTGTCGCTTGTCTGTGTGGCCTGGTCACACGTGACCGGGCCACACTGTATAGCGGCATGCTGCACAGCGGCATGCTCTTTTGCTGGGATTAGCTCCTCCTCGTCCGTTGTTGTCTCCGATGCCACTGGGTCAGCTGTCGGGGTCCGTACCTCGTTCATCATGTCAGGTGTGGTGCCGTCCACGACTGGATTAATTGCAGGGGCCGGCACATCGGCCTCCTCCATGTGTGGCTCTCCTTGATCTTGGGCCTGGATCTTCACAGCCTGAGCCGAGGAAGATGAGGGGCCATCACTGACGATGCCTGGCTGTCCGTCGCCCTGCGATTCCGCCTCCTCAGAGTGCCATTCGGTACGCTCGGTCCACGAATTCCAGCCATGCCACCACCCTGTCGACTCCGTCGCTCCATGTCGCCACTCATTGTGGCCTTCCCACGACTGCCAGCCCCTTTGCCTCAGCTCCGTGGCCGTTCTGCGATGGCGACCATCTGCTCGGTAGTGCGAGCGAGGGTGCTGCCTAGGAGGGAGACCTCTCTCGGCTCTCGTGGTTTGCCTCATTTGAGCCCGAGGTCTGGAGGTGGAGATGCTCATGCAGGCATTGCATACTGGCGGCTCTGTTCGCTCTGGTGAAATATGTGGTGCAGGCAGACTGCAAATTGAGTGTCCTGCCCTGGAGCGGAGGTCTGCATGTGGTGGGGCCGAAAGCGGCTCCCCTGCATCAGGCAGCGTATGGAGTGCCCTAATGCTATTGGACTGACAACTGCACTCTCTCGGATGGCTCATGCTCTCACCTACATCAGACCGACTGC